TTATTTGTATTTCAAAATGTTTTTGTAACGTATTTTGTTTCTTGTTATTTGTATTTCAAAATGTTTTTGTAACGTATTTTGTTTCTTGTTATTTGTGTTTCAAAATGTTTTTGTAACGTATTTTGTTTCTTGTTATTTGTGTTTCAAAATGTTTTTGTAACGTATTTTGTTTCTTGTTATTTGTGTTTCAAAATGTTTTTGTAACGTATTTTGTTTCTTGTTATTTGTGTTTCAAAATGTTTTTGTAACGTATTTTGTTTCTTGTTATTTGTGTTTCAAAATGTTTTTGTAACGTATTTTGTTTCTTGTTATTTGTGTTTCAAAATGTTTTTGTAACGTATTTTGTTTCTTGTTATTTATATTTCAAAAGGTTTAATTTTTTGCTTGTTTGTTATGTACGTTTTAAAGATGTTTCACGTTTATTTATATTTAACTATGTTGTAACATATTTTGTTCACTTGCTATTCATGTTTGTAACACATTTTCATTTCTTTTTACGCACGTTTTTACAATCTTTTACTTGCTATGTACGTTTTGATGATATTTGTAACATATATTTTGTACTTGTGCTTGTTTTGGGGATGTTTGCAACATTTCTTGTTTATTTGTTGTGGTTGTTTTAATGATGTTTGTAACAGTTTTTACTTGTTATTCATGTTTCAATGATGTTTGTAACTTAATTTGCTTGTTAAGTATGTTTTGATGATACTTCTAACATTTTTTATGAATGCTTTAATTATTTATATATCACATGTTTACTTGTTGCGATTCTTTTGATGATGTCTGTAACCTATTTTGTTCACTTGTTAAATATATATACATATATATATACACACAAATACTAGTGTATGAATTTTGTTCAAGTTACATAACAAACCATAGACATTTAGCATGTTAAAATGTGTAAATATATATATACAAATACTAATGTATGAATTTTGTTCAGGTTACATATGACGTTTGCAATACACTTTGTTTACTTGCTATGCATATTTCAAAGATTTTTGCAATGTAATATGTTTGCTTGTTATATAAATTTTAATGATGTTTGTAACATTTGTGGATTTTTTATTCATATTTTGATGATGTCTAGAACATTTTAATTTTTTATGCATGTTTTTATTATGTTGTAACATACTTTGCTTCCATTTTGTGTGTTTTAATGTTTGTCACACAATTTGCTTATTTGTTATACATGCTTCATTATTAATGTGTGTACTATATTTTTATATAATTGTTGTTGATAAATTGCCAGTGAATTTTGTTGTGTATAATTTTACACTTTGACATGTAGCGTTTAGCCCATAATGAAAGCTTTCTACCATGTGGTTTATTTTTTGTTGCCCCTGGCATTGTCTAGTGGCTAGATTGCTCGACGCACAATCTGAGGGTCTCGGGATCGAAACCCGTCACCGAACGTATTCGCCTTTTCAGTCGTGGGAATGTTAAAATGTGACGGTCAATCCCACTATTCGTTGGTGAAAAGTAGCCCAAGAGTTGGCGGTGGGTGGTGATGACTGTCTGCCTTCCCTCTTGTCTGTCACTTCAAAATTAAGAAGAGGTAGCGCAGACAGCCTACTGTGTAGCTTTGCACTAAAACAAACAAACAAACTGAACATGGGTTACAGAAAATTGTGTGGCTACATAAATGGGTCTTAAGCCGTGAAACTTTGTGACCCGCTGGTCTATATTACCTAACTAACCAGTGTTAGTGAACAAATAGTATACTATTCTCAAACACCCATAAAACAAAAGCAATAAGAACGTACACGTTTTTTGTTTGTTTGACTTGTTGATTAACTACAGCGGACAGCGTAAACTATACCAAAATAACACGTACGTGCTCAGAACAACGAATTTTGTAAAGGCACCCTAATAAAACACCCTAATATAACACTAGATTAGAGCCATGTCAACAGTTTGCAATATCAAGAAACGAAGTAAAGTCTTAAGAATCCGGACTATGATGTAATAATATTGTGATTTAGGCTCAACATTTAGGTAAACATTTGCAATTTCGCGTTCTAAACGAGCTATGTTTTTAATGTTTAAATTTTCCATATTAAACGTTTTCCTGTTAAGAAGTGTAGGTAGAAAAAAAAAGAAGTTTGGAGTATTAAGTTGAAATGAATCGGCAAGTAGCCCACTGTTTAAATGTAAAGGCGGATATTGGTCCACATGTACAAAATTAATTATTGTTATTGGAACGGACTCGGTTAATATTTTTTTAACATTCGTAATTAATAATGTCTTACTTTATCGTTTATATGACTGCAAGGAAGTTTAAATGTTATGACTACTACAAACAAAGCTACAAGGTTGTCACTTGCCATCGTGACTTGTTCAAAAAAAGACTTGTCATCACGATTTGTACAAACAAAATCTATTATGTGGACGATCTATCATCGTGAAGTGTACAACCAATTTTAAAGGTAGACAATCTGCCATCACAATCAGCACAAACAAAGCTAATTTACGAAATTTACAAACAAATAAACGAAGTAGACATCTTATCATCGTTATTTGCACAAAAACCTATAGGGGGCATTTTATTATCATGGTTTGTACAAACAAACCTACAGAGCGGACATTTTACCATCATGATTTGCTTGTGATTTAATATGGGTCAATATGGGTCATTGACCTTCATCAAAAATAAAATAGCAACTCGGATACTTTTTTTTTTGAAGCTGTTGTGAGACTGTTACTTTAATTTGTGTTTCTAAGCAATCTCCACTTGGATTCTTTAGCACCAAGAGAATATTAATTAAATGTTTATGGCCAGACATTTTCATTCACAAGTAAAGACAGTCTTCCTGGGAAGCACTTAGCAGGCAAATTAGTCGCTTGAATTATACTTTTTTTTTCAGGTTTTATAGAAAATATAAGAGCAGAACATTGCAAGTTATAACCAAGCCAAAAGAAACTTGAATTTCTTAATTTAACTAAACGATGGGTTAATTTTCTTCATTTCTCGATTTCTAGGACAAAATGGCTGAGCCAAATGTCTTGTTCACATTTGTTATTTTAGATCTCCGTGCATAGCATAGTTTGTTATTGCAAACTAAAACAACGCATTACTTTGTAAGGAAGTGAAAAACTGCCTTTCACTGAAATTTGTAAATATCAGTGGATTTTCTTATCGTTACAAACTGGCATAGCACATTGCTTTGAATTAAGCATAACAGAAAAACTGGTCATCAGCGTTGATGATCCTAATATGCATCAGATAATTTCTGTGGAAGGATAAAATGTTGTTTTATGGGCTCAGTGTTGTAAGGATATCGAACTTGGCTGTAAGTAACAAAATGTTAAATGTACCTCCATAAAAAAATAGAAGTTAGCCCACCAAAGTTTATCATACTGAAATATTATTCATAATATTTTGAAATATTAATTGCTGGTTATAAAAGTAATAAAATTAGGTGGTCTTATGTGACACTTTCTTTCGTGTTCGGACCATTCAGTGTCGCAGAAAATTAAGTAGATAATTATCTTTTATTCGTGTTAGTATCTTACTTTCAGTGTCACACAGAGCTGAATAGATTATTGTCGGTTTTATGGTGATTTATTGTTCTTGTTAGTGTTGTTGTCTTGCTTTCAGCGCCATATAAAACAAACAGATTGTCGTTTTTATAGTGATTTATTGTTCTTGTTAGTGTAGTTGTCTTGCAGATTATTGTCGTTTTTATAGTGATTTATTGTTCTTGTTAGTGTTGTTGTCTTCCTTTCAGCGCCATATAAAACTAAACAGATTATTGTCGTTTTTATGGTGATTTATTGTTCTTGTTAGTGTAGTTGTCTTGCTTTCAGCGCCATATAAAACTAAACAGATTATTGTCGTTTTCTTGGTGACTTATTGTTCTTCTTAATGCCATTGTCTTGCTTTCAATGTCACATAAAGCCAATTAGATTTATTATGATTTTCAAGGTTAGAAACCTATACGATCACTTAAGTATAATTACTAATTAGTTATCATTTTATTTGTTATTAGACAGTAATCAGTAATTAATGTTTTAATGATACTTATCTGTTGTTCTCTTCACATATGTATATGTGGTGACAGGAAAGGGGATTCGAATTACTGTTAATTATTCAGTTATTATTAACATCGTCATTAATTCCACGCAGTCATGATTACCACAACGTACGCATTTTAAAACTGTGAATAGGAAATTCGAAATCGTTTTACCCAAAATGACGATAAGTTCACAGCAAACATGAAGTTGGCAGGAAACATAAAACGACCTAATCAAATCTAGATATCTTTAATTTCATATTAGTTATCTGTTCATCAATCTATACAGCGTGAGTTCTTCAAACATTTGATTTTAATTCTGTATTTTTATATATAACTATACGAATGTGTAATAAAACTCCAACTATTAATGTTTTCTCTTTAAAACTTTTTTCATAACATCAAAATCCGTATAGTATCTGGCCAAAGCTTTTCAGTAGACCTGGATTATGTCATACACTAATCAACGTCTGTTATTTTCATTAACTTTTATACAATTTAAAATCCACGCTTTGGTTGAATAACTGAATTTTTGGCTCAATGTTTTGAATGTCTTATTTCTAGCTCTAGGACGACTCAAGTCAAAGAAAAGACAGTGGTATGTATACGATGAAGGAAGCTCTAATTTACTTTATTACAAGAACGAAACAGACTCGAATACCAAGCAACCTCTAGGTGCCATCAACATAAGGGATTCTGCTATTTCGTTAACTTTGGAGGAAATTAACCAGTTCGTAATACAGTAAGTGTTTTAATCGTGTTAAAAGTCATTTTGATGTAAGAAATAAGTCACTTGATAATAAAATTTATATCTTACGTTTCTGATGCTAATCTACTGCTTTTTTCTCATAAGAATGGCAAGAGAGAGAGAAGTAAATAGTTTATTACCATGTTATTTTTGGGAAATTAACATAAAACGGTGGTAGTTTCTTAATTTGTAACAATTGACATAATTCTGCTGTTAGAGTACGTAAGGTAAAGAAGTGTTACGATACATTATAATGGAAATATTTCTTAAACTTCGTTCTGAACTGGTCCAATTCAATCTTATAGTAAGAAAACTGTAAATAATTTTTGAAATAGATAAAGGCTTTTGGTCAATAACAGGGTTTATCAGAGCATATTTCTGACAACACTAAAAATCCTAGTTGCAACATTATATTTGTTAGAGTTCCCAAGTTTGTAGTATGCGAACTTCCTTCAGGAGATCCACAGAAAAGTTAAATAATTATGGAAAGGATTTGTTTGTTTTGGAATTTCGCGGAAAGCTACACGAGGGCTATCTGCGCTAGCCGTCCCTAATTT